AAGTATGTGAATTTCTCTCCTGTTGCACATGTTCCAAATGTACACATGTTGGAGGGAATCACATTGCAAGCTTGGAAATGTTGGGACTTTGACCACAGATTGTGTCTGAGTTTGGTTCAGAAGGTGTGAACTGGATAAATCTTGATCAAAAACACACCAAAATGAATTTTCCATACACATCTACTTCTACTAGACGGCCTCCCTTGGTAAAGTAGGACAAACCATGACGGCTGGCGGGGTCAACGTTTAAAGTACCGTAGCCTGAATTACACCAAGGCCGGCTTCAACAACACTCGGCCGATCTGTGTGGTTCAAACCCTGAAGATCTGCCACAAAGCCCCTACAACAGATGAGCCAGTGGGACAGCCCAGCTGGAAAGAACCACAAACTCCACCAAAGCAAAGTCCCCTGATTGAAACTCCACTCCGAAGCCGAATTGTTAGATGGCGGCATTCCAGTGAAACATGACCGTCAGAAGGTCAACTGGCAACCTTTTCCATCTCGTCTCCTGCAAACGTACGAGGTGGAAGAGCATCAGCGCATCACGGCTGGAGTGCGGACGTATATTTGCTTGTCATACCCTTAACTACTGACTCTGGCAATCTTTAATACGGACACATGTTAAACACATTACGGGAATGATTCCATGGCACGCGCGGAAACCAAAGGGTTCCTCAGAACTGTCGGGGGAGTTCCATGCGCTTAGCTGGCTTGCCGCACCGGGAACGTGAATGGGCCGCCTGGACCCGCAGCCAAGTTGGACTGCAAAATAAACGAGCAGCCCCTCTCCAGGGGCCACTTTGCACAACACACAGGTGCAAAACTAGGCTTGTCGATGCGCACGCACTTGGTTTGGGAGTCCTTGACAGATATGAAACGACGAGACAGCTGCAGACACATGCTAGTCGCATTCACACATACCTTTGAAGGTACGGACTGAAGCCCTGGAAACACACACCCAGAGATGGAATGTGCAGCACCAGGTCTGAAACGGGATGCCCTGCACAATTAATTTCTCATGGAGTCGGACAGAGGAAAACAGCATCACCTTCACTGTTGTAAAACTGCCACAAAATCAGGTATCTAAAGCTAACAAAGTGCCAACACAGCACAGAGATATAAGACGGAGATCTGCAACTGCGGGATAAAACAACGATGTCCAAAAACGCTGCAGCCTCTTTGCACGGATGGGAGCGCCAGGAAAAGCTGTGCCCTGCGGGCCGCTACCGAATTGGGCCTGTCTGAGTCAAGGGGAGCCACGAAGGACTGCCTTACTTGGAACTGATTCCGCGAGATGGGAACGGGGAGTGGAGCAATTCATGGAGGAGGAGGAGGAGGCTCTCCGGGGCTAGATGCCATTTCCAGTGTCAGAGGCAGTGTGGCGGCATTCTGCCGGTTGCTGGGGAACATGGGTGCTGCTGCTGCATTCCTGCCCTGCTGGTGAGTTCCCCGTGGGCCCCTGTGTGCACAGGACGATGGGCGGCTTGGCCCCTTGGCCAGATCCAGCGGGGCCCTTCTGGGGCCCTCCTGACCTGGCCGGCTCCCACCCTCAGAGCCTGGAAGGAGAAAAGCGCTGAGCGGGATGGAGGCGGAAGCGGAGCGGGAGAAGGGCAGGCTCCCAGCGGAGCAGCGCCGCAGCCTTCTGTGCCCGCCTCTCCGAGGCAAGGCTTAAGGCCTGCTCCCCGGGCGAGGGAAAGCCGGGAGCCGGGCACAGCCATGCTCACCACCCCGACCTCTCCCCGCTGCGGCAATGGTGGCGCCCATTGTGTAACAAGCACCTTATCCCCCGAGCGGCTGCAGGCTTAGCCCAGCTGCCCATACGGGCATTCATTATTCAAACACCGGACTAAAAAGCAATTATTAAAACATTTCAATAAATACACTTGGCAGCTTGTGCGGTGCTGGGATTAAAACTTTGCTTCCACAGAAAGGGGAGAGAGAGAGAAAGAGAGGAGGGGCGGGAGCGGACACTTCCTCTCCTCAGTCCCCTTTAAACAACTTTCACAAATCAATTTTCTCTATGTGTTTCAGTTTCCTTTGACAGTTTAAACCTCAATCCAATCAGCAGTCTCTGGGGATTTCCGAATCACTAAAGATTAAAATCCTCTTCAAGCCCCAAGTGTTTTTGTTAATGCTGTGTGTTTAATAACTCCACTTGTGAGAGATTTTGCTGGAGAAAATCCGGCAGTGCAGAAACCTCAGTAAGCTAAACGGCTGAATTAAAACAAGAGCCTGCACTGTCCTTGTCTTTGGGTGAATACGGTAATGGCACTGCCATGACTCGCAGGGGCTGCCCCAGAACTGGCCCATCCGAGGTGTGCTCTCTTCGGCCCGGGAAGGACGAAGGCAAGTCCCAAAGTGAGGCCAGGGCACACGTTCCAAGTGTGGCCATCGAGGCACTCCCGGTGACAAGGACTGCGCCGATCAGCGGCTGGTGAGCACAGGGATGGGGGCAGGGGAAGGGGGTGGGAAGCGAAGCAAATTCCCTTGGCAAAGACGGACGCGAGCCAGGGCAGTTGTCAGAGGGCTGTCGCTCTGGGGTGCCTTTGCATCTGCCCAGGCATTCTGGATGATGCCAGCAGCCCTGAGTAGGCTTTCCGTGCTACTGGCTACCTGATCCTTTTAACTGGCACGCTCCGGCCTGGACCCTGGGCCTTGTACATGCGGAGCCCGCCCTCTGGCTCCACACAACAGTCCTTTCCCTAAAACAAAAGTCTCCAGGAGCCTCTGCTTTTCAAAAGACAAAAGAAGCAGCCAGCAAAGTTATGCAACAGGAAAGGAACCACGTCAACAACGGAATTCATATGGTCTGTGCCAATCAATGAAAAACACTCTGTATCTCCTACAAGTATACTTTGGAGGTGAAGGAAGTTCAGAACCAGGAAAACAGCATGTCCTTTTCACTCCAGATCTCTTTATTAGTCAATTAGGAGTTGATGAGGACCCAGCTGATGGATCACGACAGCCACAATAGCCCCGATTGCGCCTCCACAGCCAGCCCCTCAGCTGGGGGGTGAGAAGGGGGGTGTCTTCCTGGATCACTTGCTATTCGGGGCCACACCCAGGCAGTGCGCACCCAAATAGGCTTCTTTTGCAGGGACCTGGAGGCAGACAGAGAGCTCACCCATGCAATGGCTGCAGGCTCGGCGGCTGCGTTGTGTCAGTGCGGCATTTCTGCCGAGCCTGCCCCGGGCTGCTCTGCTCCTCCTCGTGGCTGCAGGTTGAAGACACGGGACCCCCTCTGAGCCCCTGCCGCTCACCCCCCAGCAGCCAGCCACAGGGATCGGGCTGGGCAAATGACCTCTAGGTACGAGGGCAGCTTGGAGGAAACACCTTTGGACCGGCTAGGAAGGCCGGCGTCCTCAGCCATGCGCGCTCCACTTGGGCATACCAGGAGGCGGCCGCCATCTGGGAGGGAAGGCAACCCCTGGCCCCAAGAAGAGCCCTGCGGGGCCAGACCGGGGCTGCAGCACCCTGAGTGCGAGCACCCCAGCGTGTACACGGGTCGGTCCTGCGTACACGTGGTGCTGCGCAGGCTTCCCTGGGGCCATTCTGGTTTCTCGGGAGGCAGCCTGTTGGAGCCTCGCCCTGGCTGCACAGGGCAGCTGCCGGGACACTCTCAGAGGCCAGAGACCCAGGGGAAGCCCAGGACGGTGCCAGGCGTGGGCCCTGCCTAGCCGTGCAGTAAGATGAGCCCAAGCACCAAGCCAAAGGGCCAGGAAAAGAAGACGGGAAGGGAGGGGGTGGGGAGAGGCCCTTCTGTCCGTCCGTCCGTCCTCACCACCACTGAAGCCGCTGATGCCTCAATGGCTGCAGTTAGATAGGAGCCTGCCCCCCCCCCCCGTGATGTTTGCGGCGGCTGATTGATTACCCTGTCTTTCCGCTAATACATAAAGTCTCTCAAGGTGGCCAACAGCAAATCTCATTTAACAAAACCTTGGAGAAAACACACCAGAGCCCATTAAGAATGCAGTGTAAAACACCACGCTCCCGGATGGAACGGCAGCACTGCCCACCCCTCCTCAGGACAGCACGCCCTGTCCTGATGAAGAGCACGGGGAAACGGGCGCAGCTGCACCCGGGGAGCAAGCGCGCCCCCTTTCAGCCCTGGGCGCGCCCGCCCCCAGCACCCAGCTCCCCAGAGCGCCTTCTCCCCACAAGATGCGGCACACAGGCCCTGTCTGCTTGACCAAAGGAAAAAGCTGCTGTTCGCGAGTGCTTTCCTGCCCGGTCCCCGGAAGGGGCACCTTAACTCGCCAGAGGCGATCAGCCAGGTGGGAGCCCCGAAACTTGAGGAAGCAACAAGACCCCAGACACCAAGCGGGGCCTGCCTCTCCCCTACCCCCCCCCGCACCCATTAACATGAGCTGCTGCTGCTCCTACGCATTGAGGGCTTCTCCCCTCGATCAGCCTGGCTACCAGTGCCTGGACGCCTCTGCAGCCAGGATGGGGCAAGTCTCGGAAGGAGAGGAGCACAGAAAACAAGCCTCCCTCCCTGGAATAAGCTGGCCGGCCCTTTCAGGTGGGCTCTGAACCACCTGGAGCTTGCCTCCTGCCCCCAGCTCCCCTCTTCACAGGTCCTTCTCCCCTCTCCCATGAAAACCTGCTTTGATGAAGTGGGAAAGGGCGGCAAAGAGTGGGATGCAGGGACACATCTGAAGAGAAAAGCCCAGGCGCTTTCGAGCGAGGCAGAGGGGGCTTGGCTACGGCTGCAGCCCTTCAGCAGACAGGCTTCCGCGCCTGTCCCTTGCTGCTGCCATGCCTGCTGGCCCGGCCCCGTCCTCCTCCCCAGCACCATCACATGCACTGACTCACGGGGTGCACAAGAAGCACACGGCGCTTCTCTACTATCGCGTCGCCGCCGCTCACCAGCCCAACACCACCCATCTTCGGGTCCACACAGCAGCCGTGAGAGTTTCATAATGCGAAGTCGACACACAACAGATCAACAGCACTGAGAAAAGCTGATGCGCCCGAAGTTCATCGGTGCGCTTTCCTACCTGAGGCAGCATCGGCCGCGGAAGAAATTCCTCGGCGGTCAGATGTTGGGCGCGATGACCCCGGCATGCTCACGGGCTCGGAGCGAACCGGCTGGATCCTGAAAGGTGGAACGTGACCAGTTACTAGGCCTGAACACAGGCAAAGCTTAGCCACAAAAACCAGCAGGTATGCCAGCTGAACTTCTGTGCCTGCTCAGGGGCAGCTTTTCTCCAGAGAGGCGGCATGCCTGAGCAGGGAGGGTGGCAGGCACACCGGGGCGCAGTGGGAGGGGCCACGCGGAGAGGCAGGGGGGCAGAGCCATCCGTGGGTAAGCCTAGGACCAGCAGGTTCAAATTCCCGCCTTGCTGGAAGCTCGCTGAGGGAAGCGCGCAGCCCTCTCGGCCTGCACGGCCTCACGGGATCGTTAGGAGGCTGCAAGTGGGTGGAAGCCACCTCTGCCCTCAGCTCGGTGCCCGAGATCGTTCTCAGCATCTCTCGGCACGATGATCTCGCTTTTCCGGGGTGAGCGTCTCCGCTTGTGAATCTGCGGTCTGAGTGCTCAGAATGGCACAAAGAACAGCCCCCGAAAAAGCAAGGAAGGTTCAGCGAAGAGATGCTCTCCTCCGGTCACTCTGGGGGAGGCCCGAAGCTCTGACACCACCTTCATTACTGCTTTGTGGCTCTGGGATACTCTCGCTCCTAGCAATGGAGCAGCTGAAAAACGCTTTCCCTTATGGGACTGACTTTTGCCCGGCAAGTGGAGGCACTTGCTAAGGCGACCCCACAGGGCCCCGCTCACCCCTGACCAGCCTCGTTCGGGTAAGATGTGCCACCTGTTAAAAAAGGAGGCGGTTGTCTGGCTGAGCCCTAAGCAGTCTGGCTCAAGTAAACGCATCCCATGCATCGCTCGGGGAGCCGGCCATCGGTTCTGTGTGGCTGATGGGGGGAGACGTGGGGCCGAGCCCAGAAAGTGCTCTTAACCTGAGACTGTTGAGATCGAGGTCATCGGTGTCAAAGTCCAGCAGAGGCTGTGGGGTGTCGTTCGGGCCGTGAGACTGCAGCACCGATGAACTCGAGGAGATGACGGTCGTCTGGCCCGAGGGGTGGATGGTCTTGAACTGGAACTGCGGGCCCATCCACAGGCGCCGGTGAGGGCCGGTGTGGGTCACAATTTCAACCTAGGAGAGAGGTGGGGGCACAGGGGTAAGGCAGAGCCAGAAGGCGTCACACGACCGCCGAGGCCCCCACCCTGTGCGGGTTGGCCACCTCTGCACTGGTCCCAAAGCCCCACGGAACGGCGCAAAGATCCATCCCCCTTGGGATCTCAAGGGAGGCGGACAGACTCAATGGTTTCAATGGCAACTTGATGTGTTGCCTGGACTTTACAAGGCTGACAACATGGTACTGTGTTTAAAAGTGTCGTAAGCCATTCTGAAACCCACCATGAAGTTCAGTGTTAAAAATGAGAGAGACATAAATCCTAAAGTGATGTAAAACATAAAATACACTACTTCACCTCCCCCCCCCCAAAAAAAACCCCTACCCAGAAAAGAAGAATGTCAAGTATAGAGTTCAAAATGCACGAGATGGGGGACCAAAAGTATTCTAAGAATCTGGTGGTGGAGAAGAGGAGAAAAGAAGCGTTTTTGCTACAAGTTCCAACCAAAAAAAGAAAAAAGCGGGGGGGGGGGGGGGAGCTGCTACGCATATGCAGGAAGACAACAAAAGCTGTCCAATCTCGATCAACACAGCAGATGACCTTCCCAAGTTGTTCCTGTCCGCTCGAGTCTGGCTTCGGATTCGCACAGATGCCCTCCCGCACTTTTGCGCTCATCTCTGCGGATGCCGGAGCCCCAGTGCTCTGGGTGACTTGGAAATATTACAACACGCAATATTGCATTATTATTAAACGCAGCCTCGCTGTCGGGCGTTTGTTTCAGAGCCTGGGAGGAAGAGCACAGAGATCAGCTCCGTTCTCTATCCACACGGCTGTCTTCTCATGGGGGTAACCCGGGCTGTCTTTGCCGCTATGTAAATTAGGCCATGACTAACGCACGCTGTGTATTTTAAGCTTGAGACCATCAGCGTTGCAGAGCCGAGAGGTAAACAGATGCCTCTGCAATTTCACTGAGGGTACGAGCCAGATGTTCCCATTCAATCCCCCGCCATGCGCAGGACAAACATATTGTATCTCCTTCCCAGTGACAGCACGCATTACCCATTCATCTAACTGAGGAGTGGAAGCAAAGGGCGGCTTGCCCTGCCACATGCTGTTGCCGTCGATGGCAACACTTCTGCCTGGGGAAGCGCGCGCGCTGCGGGCTGAAATCCGAAATGGCTGCCCTGGGGACTGGGAAGGCCTTTTGTGTTCCGAGGAGAAGCCGCCGTGCTCTTTCCGCTTGGCCAAAATGGGGCATTTCCCAAAGTGGCTTGGGCAGCCTCCAGGATTTCTGCTGGGCAGCCTCTCTCCAGCGCCCATCGTTACGTTCTGGGGGACAGCCGGAATTTGATGGCTGCAGCGTTCCCATACTCGAGAGCAGGCGGGAGGTCCTTGCGTCGCTCCCCTGGGTCCCCAGGCTGGGCTTCCAGGTTCCCCAAATGACCCGGCCCCTTTCTCCACCCCCTTTCCTCCAAATGCCCCCCGACTGACTTCAGCAGTTCCCTCCTGCCCCAGCACCAAATGGCTGAAATGCCTCTACAGAGGGTTAGTTGCTGTCAGCACAGGGCTAAGCTGCAACGTGCTCTTTTTGGGAGGTGTTTCTGGCCCTATGCCCCTTTTTCTGGCCCTGCCCACTTTGCTCCGGGCCGCCCCTCATTGGAACGCAGCCCCCAAGATACTTTCTGAGCTTGGCCCTCGGGCTGCAGAGGTTTGGCATCCTCGCTTGGAAGGGATTCTTCCACGACCCGGCGACGGAGGGAGGCACGGAGTGGAACTGCCAGGTTTATTTAGGGGTGTGAGCTCAGCCCGACGTTTGGAATGCGCGTGGGCAGGCTCACGCAGCTCGTATTACCTGGGCGGTTGATGCCCCTGCCCAGTGCAACGTGGTGTGCGTGGGCGAATGTCAGACTTTTGGGGTGGACCCCGGAGCGCACCAGCCGGAACCCGGGGTGGGCACGCACTCGGGATCACCGAGGCCAGACTAAGGCTCTCTCTAGGCACGCGCTGTGACTGTTGGAGGCCCCAGCAGGGGTCCTTCCCATCATCTGCGACCGGGTTTGGAACAGAAGAGGCCTCTGGGCCCTTCAGCTAAGCTGAGAGATCTCTCCACTGAGACCGACCGAAGCAGCCCAGAAAAGGGTTCTTGGTACCAGAATCTCTTTCTTTTCCTCTGGAAGTCCGCTGGCTCTTCTCACCCAGCTGTTACACCACCCAATGCTCCCTCCTCCGCTTGGAGTGGGAGGCATTTTCGTGGGGCCGTAGCCCGACAGAGGCTGTTCTCTCCTGGATTGCTGAGGTCCACCGTCCGCCCAGCCCAGGAGACCCAGAGCGCATCCGGCAAGGAGCCGCAACGTGGGGGACGCCATGGGGGTTGCTGCTCCCGACTGAGATGTGATGTGCAACTTATTCCAGGGCAACTGTGCCGGTCCAACCGAGACTGAATGTTACTCAGGCAAGAAATAGATAAAAGTCCAGCTACGCCACTGCGGCAGGGAAGACTCGGGCGGCCCGTGGCCATGCGGCTGTTCCTGGAGCACAGCTTCCTCCTGCCCAGCCGACAGGGTCCCTGGTCCCGGATGGCAGGAGCTGCACGGTGGCCACGTCTGGCGCAGGGGCAGCCAGCCTGGGGCGCTCAGCCCAACCTCCACAGCCATCGGCATTTGCTGTGCACAGACCCCTACCAAGAGCGAGCTGCCCCTCGCCCCCGGAAAAGGGGTGGCCAAAAGCGGGAGGACAGGGGGCAATGCACATATCTATGGCTCAGGGCTCGCAACTCAGCCATGCCGGTTGGGCCTTGCCCACCCTGAATGTGCAGCCCCTGGCAGAACCCCTGCAAAACGGGGTGGCCCTTCGCAGAAAACAAGCTGCCGGCCCTCGACCGAGAGGGCCGCGGGTTCCCCTCCCTGCCCGACATCCAGGCGTACCGTTCCCGGTGTCCGTACCTGAGCCAGCCATTCTTCATCTTCCTGCCCACTGTGGTCGGATGCTAAGCTGTCATAGGACTCGTGCCGAGTGATGGGCCCCGGACTCCCTAGTGGAACCACTGTGTAAAAAGGGAGAAGATTGGGGGGATCAGACGCACAGATGTGTGGATACACAGACCAGTAAAACAAACATTCGTGGCTAAATTTTTATCTATCTAAACACCACATATAAATGTTACAGCATATCGAGCCAGGAGGACCGAAAGCCAAATAGTCTAGCAGTTCAAATCTTAGAAGCTAAACCATCGCTTTGAGATGTGGATGTAGGTTGACAACTCTGATGGACTTGATTTAAACGTCAGACGAACATCTGCACACCTTTATGTGTGTTTTTGTCCTTTTTTGTACATGATTTGGTCTAACCCCCTTTTTGCACAAGGTTTGCCTGATACAGTGCATTTTAACAAGAATTTCACAAATCTGTGTGTTCTCCTGGGTGCCTTCCCCTAAAACATGCATTTTTGTATCCACTCCTTGATTGGGGAACTCTAGTGCATAACTGAATTACTCAGATGGTTTAAAAATGCAAAATGGGGGATGTTCCTTTTAAAACATGAACTGCACAAATTTCTTTTTATCCATCTAAACACCACACAGAATAAACTCTGTAGATGTCACAATAAACTAAACTAGCTCTCTGCATGTTTCGGCTGGCAGTGCCAGAGGAACTTGCAAAACCGCGTCAATGATACGCCGCTTGCTGCAAAGTTTTCAAGAAACTGTCCACTTTAGGAGAAGCAGCGACCAGGCTAAGCCATCGTGACAAAACCTCGCCCTGGGCATCGCGACCCTGAACAGGCAGCGGCCCTTGCCTGGCCTGGGGAACCGCAGCCATCAAGTCGCCTCGATGTTAATGCAACTTATTTGAAGCTGCCTGGACAATTAAGTCGGCCGAGATCTTTTTGGCAGGTGGGACTGGATGATTTGCATCTCGGCAGCAGCTGTTTCACCAAACAGCCATATTTTATCACTGTTAAGTGAAATCTGTAACTGAAAAGAAAATCGGAACTCCTCGGGGGGACAGGATATTTGTCCGCAGTTGGGGGACATCCCAGATTAAAGATGACATCATGTGTGCAGGAATGCTGGGGGACATCAAAGAATTGCCGGACTGAGGAATGGCCAGGATGAGAGACGGAAAAGACGGGCCAGGGGAAAAGATGGCAGCTTGAACGTTGGCTCCTGGCCGCGTTTCCCTGGGTCATGAGCACGAGTGTCAGGCAAGCTTACGGCAGAGTCAGAACCTGCCCTAGCAAGGAAAGACCCACGGCTCAGGCTTCAGCATCGCCCTCCCTGATGTGGAATCGCCCACAAAGAATGAATCCCTCCCGATGCTGCGGCCGCATGGACGTGGACCTCTGCAGCTCTTTGCCGGTAGGGTAGCTCAGGGCTGGAGCCCCGCTGTCCAGACAGGGGGTCCCCAGTTCACACTGCGGCACCTCCTGCCACAGGGGCCAGGCAGAGTGTGATGGGGCAGGTCCTTCTCCGCCTGCGTCGCTGGAGGGACCCTGCAGTCCAGCACAGGCAAAACTGGCTGGAAGGACCTGGACAAAGGCTGCGCTCGCTGCTCCTACACCAAGGGGGGGGGGGGGGGGGTTCTGTGGGTAAAGTGACCACCCCGGCTCGACTTACATGCCCATTCAGGTTTGCCATGCACTCGGTGACATGGGCAATCACTGGCACTTCCTCACAGGGCTGCTGAGCCTACAGAAATACCAGGAGTTCTGGGGGGGAGCAGCTGCCGGTGGGGGTGGGGGGAGAATACTGCCTGGAAGGAACCCCTAACAGCTCATAACAGCCTTCTTCCATCTGGTGCCCTCCAGAAGTGCTGGGCGACAACCCCCATCACTGTGGACAACACGCCCAGTGGCTTGGACCTGAGGATCATACGAGCTGGGTTGCAGTGTGCCTGGACGGTGCTAGGCTGGGCGAGGTTGGCCTGCAGTGTCCGGAAGGCCTGGTGGGCTGGCACCCGTCCTGCCAAGGCGGTGAGGATACGCTGCAACATTTTGCCGTGGGTCGCACTTGCGTTAACCAAAAGTAAAAGCTGCAGAACGTATAAATGAGCCACTGGGCAATGGGGCAGAGTGAGAGAAGCAAACAGCAGGAAGAGGAAGGAGATGTAGAGAAACTTTGCTCCAGGGGTAACTTTGGTAAGTAAAGTTTTTGCTGACTTCAAATTTTTATCATGGCATCGTGAACTACTTAATTATGACAACAAAACGGACATCAGAGCTCAAATGGGGGCTGCCTGCTACACAAGATGGGTGCTACTGTCTTCACAAGCTTACGGATCTGAATATAACAGCAGTCAGGTCTAGAGGCTCCTAATCGAACGATTTCCCCGCGCACAATACTGAAGGGCAACCAGCCCAGCGTGTTTACCCAAGAGCCACCTTGACTGACTCCAAGTAAGTGCGGCGGGTGCGCGTGTCAAGGTTTGGCTCTTCACCAACCCCAGTGGCCAAAAGAAAAGGAACGGGAGGGAGGCAGCCGTCTTGATGCTACCAGGTTATTATTGACTGGAATGAGGCTAGCGGCAGGAAGGCTGACGGCCTGGCTTTCCAGTGATGGCAGTCCAGGGACGGCGGGGACTGTGCTGCACTCTCGTTCAGCGTTCCAGTCAGCCAGGCTGCCGTGCCTTCCTGCAAAGACGTCGGTCCATTCGCCCACCCCGTTCGCCAGGCCCAGATGGGGGGCCACGTCCTCTAACCACTGGATGCTCCTAGCATCCCCAGGGCTCCCCTACAAAGCAGGGGTGGACACCGTGGGGCCTGCTGAGGCCACTTCCTTGCTTCCAGCCTCCCATTAGTGCTATAGCCGATGCTTCTCCTGACCTCTTGCCTCCAGCCAGGAAACAGGGAAATGGTGGGGGGCAGGTGGACTGGCAGGTAAAAAAAGGTGGTGGAGGGCAAAGAAATAGAAATGGAATAGGAATAGGAATAGAATAGAATAGGAGCAAAGAAAAAACAGAGGAAGGAAGGAAGGAAGGAAGGAAGGAAGGAAGGAAGGAAGGAAGGACGGACGGAAGGACTCTGGATTTATAAAAGAAAGCCACGCTAGCATTCTTGACTGTGCTCAGCTATTGTATCAGTGCTAAATAGCACCTCAGCAATTAAACACACACACAGACCCAAACCTCTAAAAGCAGCAAATTTTGCCTGCATTATCAGTCACTGCTCTTCCTTGCCCTCCGACGCAAGGGTACAATAGATGTTCAATTATTAATCTGTCCAGGTTTTCTACCAGCAGCTCAATGCATGGGCTCTGGTTTCCTTTCCCTCTCATTACATTCCTCCCAGGAGAACAGTCACAGACGGGGTATAATTATAAAACAGACATCTCTGTGTGTTGCAAAGAGATCTTTGACACGGTGGGTTCTCGACAACCGCAGGTGTGCTGCTTCCCCCCAACAGAACAAATACGAGCCGCCAGGACGGCATCAAAGTTTCACATACTGCCATGTGTCAAGGACGTGCGCGCGCATACAGATGTGCACAGACGCAGCAACCTGGCTGAGTGGATGTGGAAGTCAAGTAAGGTCGATTTGGACCTTCTGTTGGCCCCGAACCAGGTAACTACCATGGGTAGGAGCACAAAGGCCTGTGGCCAAGGGCTGAACTCTTCCAGATGTACCTACGCTGTATGTGCATCTTCAGGCACTTGTTCATCTCAGTCCCACTTGACATTTTAGGTGAGCACTTAGAAATGACACATGCTCTGTGACCAGCTGGTCCAAAGAACTGCCATCCAGCAAACCAAAGGGCCAAGAGAATGGTAAAAAACTAAGGCTGGTCAATAGGGATGCTATTCCGCTGCTGGGGGGCGGGGGGGCTAGGAGTCAAGAACAGAGACCGAGCCGGGAGAGGCCCGAGCCTCTGCTTGCCCGGGCCTTGTGCCCACCGAACCAGGAGCCTTCCACAGCCCCTGCCCATTGAGCGGGTCCAAGGACTGGCCTGGGGAGCGGGGGCACGGCTAGTCCAACTCAGAATACACCGCTCTCCCAAAAAGCCTGTTGCTCACTCACCACGCGGGGCAGGAATGTGGCGCGCCAAAGATTTCTGATGCGACCCTTAACACGTGCTGCCCTTTGAAACACGTTGCTCGGGCCCGTCCTTCCACAGAAAGGGGAGAAGGCAGGCAGGGGCGCATTTTGCTGTGTAGGACTGGTGTGCTCTCTCCCTCTCATACACACAGAGGTCGGGGGCGACTCGTGAGTTGAGCAGGGCAAGACCAGGCAGCCCTCGGCCCCCCGTCTCCATGGCGATGTTTCGGCACCGGGTGGATGATGGGCACTTCATTCCTAATGGTGCTCCCAGGGGTCCATCCGTCCACGGGGGGATGAATCAGCTCCTCCTCACGTGCGTGTAGCTCGCACAATGTGGCCGGTGTGTAAAAAGGGCTGTGGGCCAGGCCCACTTTGGCACGCCGCTTCGAACGGCATCCTGAGACCAGGAGAAAATCCAGCGAAGGAGGTGCCCGCGCGGGGTCGGCGGCAACGTCAGTGCCGTGGATCAGTGTGCAAGCAACCTCCATGCCAGGGCGGCATTGACCTTGAACACGGCGGCCCGCGATTCAAAGGCTGGCAACAAATACAGCCTTCTCTTGTATTCAGGAATAAATTCAGCAGCGAGGGCTAACTGTGAAATCGGCCTGATGGGGCCATCTTTAAAGAGTTACGGAAGAGGTAACTCTTTCTATAATTCACCGACTTCAAAAGTATGTTTGACATTATTGTCGGGAAAATTATGTTAACCATGGATTACTGTTACAATCAAAGTATGTAGTGAGAAGTCAAATGGCTTAGTAGTAAATTTTCAAAGCAGAGCGCGGGGATTTAGCCGTTTGACTCCCATTAGCGTCAGGAGGGTTCGCACAGCTAAATCCTCGCACACCGCTTTGAAAACTGACCCTTTTGCATTGATGGAATCGCCCCCCTCCCCAAACTCTCCCCAACCACCACCGTCTTTTAAGAAGTTCCAGATGACCAAGCAAGACCAGGGAAAGGAGCCCATTTCAGCATGTTATTGTTGTTTGTAGGCATCTGAAAGTTATTTTA